CTTGTCTGGAGCAAAGAAGAGTGAAGAAAACCAAAGACACATGGAAACAATTAGTCCAAGAGACTAGTGGACCATGGAAACCTCATCCTTCATGACGCCAAGAACAGAAGAAGAAATGGTGTCCAACTGGCCCTGTCAACCACTCTGAAAGGGGTCAAAATTGGAGATCGTGGATAGAGTGGGAGAAAAATGCAGAACAAAACTCAAAACCATAAAAAAAGACAAAGTTTACTGGTCTAATAGAACTTGGTGGAACCCCTGAGACTATGGCCCTTAACCACCTTTTAGGCCTGGAAGTGAACTCACTCCTTTGGCTCAATTTTTAGCCAAACAATAGACAGGCCTATGAGGTAAACAATACCAACAGAGAGGTAAGTGCTCCATAGAACAACCAACCATAACGGATCAAAAGGGCATCATCTGCCTAGGGATAAAGCTTTAGAAGGCAGGAATGGATAGGGAAGAAGGACAAAGGGAACCACAGGGAGGAGGTGCAGTTAGTGCTGTTACATTGTGGGAATTGCAATCATTGTCATTAAAAAAAAAAATATGTATGAATTGTTGAATGGGAAACCAATTTTCTCTGTTAACTTTCACCCAAATCACAACACAAAGTTAGAAAAACCAAAACCAAAAACAGAATGATGCACTTTTCAGGCTAATGAAATTGGAGTGTGCCAATAATAAGTCATGAATCAAACCTGTTTTTCAAATTGTTGTGCATGGACATTTATGTATGTGTAGTGCCTAAGGCATTTGACTGCTAACCAGAAGGCTGGCAGTTCAAACCCACCAGCCACTTCTCGGAAGGAAGGTTGGGCAATCTACTTCCGTAATGATACTGCCTCGGAAACCCAAGGAGGGGTTGCTATGAGTCGGTCCGACTCGATGGCAAATAACAACAACAAGAAAGAGTTACAACTCATTATGACTCCAAAATTTGAATGTTATGATCACCTCAGGGATGATCATGATTCTCATGATTCTCTTCATGAAGAACAAATATTTGAAAACTATTTTTACACATTAAGTGCATGCAGTGAGATTTCATATT